CCTAAGTGATTCCTCCTGGGCCATCAAGTCCCACCTTCCAGTGGGTTTCTCCTCTTTGATAGGCACCCAAACCCTCCCCATCTCCAACGCTCCTCCCCATTCGCCCTAGCGTTCTTTGCGCCTCCCTTGGCTCCTTTCGGGCTCTGTGTCCCCATCTCCACTCGTCCTTCTCTGCCTCTCCCGGTTATATAACTCTTCCTCTCGTCGTGTCCTGGTTTCAACTCCACAGACTCCGCCCTGGAGCAGCGCGGGGAGGGGCCGGAGAGTTGGGGACCCAGACGGATTCGGGCCGGCGGCCGGCTGGGGCACAGGGGATCCCGTAGATAGAAGACTGAGCGCACAGGGCCCCAAAGTCCCAGTCCCCCGCCCGCGTTCTCACCCAGAAGGGAGACAGTATCTCTAAAGGCGTTGTCAGGGCTTCAGTTAAAAATATGGGCGGGGAGACCACGGCTGTAGGCGGAAAGGACGGGGCGAGAGGACTGAGTCCCTGGAACTGGTGCTGTTTTGGGAGGAGAGATGATAAAGGCAGGACGCCTGGATTCCTTCCTTCCTTTCCTTCCTTTTTCTGTTGGGCTCCCAGAATTCCTAAGGCTATTTCCCAGGAAACTTAGCCAGCAGTCCTCCTAGCCCCCAAGGGGTCAAAGGTCTGTGTGAGAGGTGGCCTGGGATGATGTCACCAGTGCACGTGCCCCGGGATGGTTGCCAGGCAATGACGCCTGCCCTCTACACCCACCTCCTTTCATTCTGCCCCCCCCCATAAGCCCCCCACCACCCCTCTCCCGGAGTCCAGTTCATATCCGGCGCCATCGCTGCCCCTGTCCCTTCCCTGGCCTTACCATTCTGCAGGTGGGAAACCCAGGCCTGGAATTTTTTGAGGGGGAGGGGCACGGGTGTGGTGTAACTGAAAGATTTTGCTTCCCTGCAGGCTGAGGGACTCCTTGGTCACTTCTCCTTAGATAGGCCTTGAAGAGCTACCCCCCTCCAACGACAGCCCCCACAGCGTGCGTTCCCAAGAGCCTCCCAGAAATCAAACTTTCCCACCTGCTGCTTCCTCAAGTCTACTGTAGCTCTCCTATCCCAGGTTGAGTTGCAGAAGAGCAGTGTGTGGTGTGAGTGACTCGCTAGACACCAACTCACCTCTGATCGCCCCTGCATCAATGGCAACACCCTTCTCTCCCACACACACCTTCAACGGTGAGGAAAAGGGTGGTGAAACAGCAGCATTAAACTGAAAAGTAAGGGTCTTTATTCTGTGTAGGTGGGTGGAGCATTCAGCACATCTCCTGTGTGGCTGGAGGATGACCCAGGGCCCTTCCCTGTGAAGTCCTGCAGCGGCTGGAGAAAGAGTGGATTTTGCTTTTAGGTACCTTAGCACATGGGCTGTCATATCAGACCAGTATCTCATTCCTCCCCTACCACGTAGTGGATGCTGGGACTTGAAGTGGGGGGCGGAGAGGGGGGGTGTCACCACCTCATATTCCTAATCTGGAAAATTAAAATGTCAATACCTACCTTCCAGGCAGTTTGAAGGAAAGAAAAATGAGATAATTTATGGAACGCACTTAGCACAATCCCTGACACAGATCGAATGGTTGTCTTTATAAAATATTTATTTTGAAATTATTTTTATTATCAAACTAGTCCGGGACCTTTGGAGTTCATTAGGGAGGAGTTTGTATTAATTTGGTAGTGATGGTAGTGAAGGGGTGGAGGGGGTGGCTGGGAATTAGCTTGTACTTCTCCGTTCGTTTTATTTAATGAGGCCTTTAGTCAGATTTTTATTGCAATCTTTAGGAGTGTTTTTTCCCCCTTCTTGGAGAAGAAACAGCTAAAGACTATTCCATTAACTGTGAAAATAAAATAATTGTATTGTGCTTCTTGATTTTGAAGCAAGGCCCCAGTCCCCTCCCATGTTCTTTCGGGAGCCTTTTAATTTTGCAAAGGGTCTCCATAGTTTCCTTAGCGGGGACAGGACTGGGCTGAGGGGTGTGTTAAAAGGTTGGGGGTGGGTGGGTGGAGAGAGAC